AAATATTTTACTTAGGTGTTTGACTGGTTGGCTTTGGTTAGGGCTTATGCTGTGCATCTATAGCAGATTGCTTTCCATCTCCAGTTTCTCAAAAGGAGCTGAAATGAAACTTTTCAGGGCAGTTGCTGGTATACAGTGCGACAGGATGCTGCGTTGCTTTGCGAGATCTGTTTCAGACTAGGGCACTATTTATTTCCAGGGACAAATCAGGCAAGAGCTGTGATCTGGCTCTTTCCTGGGCAGATGCTATGTGCAAAAATATCTTAGAAAGCTTGTTAAACCAGAATCTGCCTTAGAACCCGATTATTTTAATACCTCATATAGATGAATGGATTTACTCATATTTTGTTTTAAGAAGTGAATCACAGAGTTGAAGAATGCCAGCAGTGTATCGGCAGGATTGTCTTATTTTTCAACATGAAAAAACTTATGAAACTGTTGGCTAGTATTATCTTTATAAACAGTGGTGTAGATTAAGTTGTCACAAATAATTCATAAATATTAAAAAAACTTTTAATTTTGAGGACGTTTAGCTCTCCCCTTCACACTGATGGGGCTGAGATGTCTTGTGTTCTTGAGAATTGTTGGGATTAATGGAGTGGAGAAGAGCCGAAACTGATAATTTTTCTTAGATGCTCCTGGAAATTTTCCTCATTAAATGTTGGGCTGGGTTTCCCACTGAAGCTTCAGAGTTTCTGGGGAGATTTTAAATAGAAAGGGATTCTCTTCAGCCTGGATGACATGGACATGCCCTGCCTACAGGCATAAAAATGGACAAAATGACGTCTGATGCTCCCTTTTTCTGTGACCACTGAACCCTAAGTCTCAATTTAGACACATGAGGTCATGAGAAATCTCTATGGCAACAAACCAGCATTAGGGAACCCCTTGTAGAAATACTCAAAGGCTTGAGGAAGTTACAGGATTTTGTCTGAAGAGACTCACTGACAGTGGAAGTAATGCAGGTGGCAAGCTTGATCTGAAGTGCTAGACTGCACCTGAGAAGGATTAATACAGGCTGATTTCTGCATTTATCCAACAAATATTTACTGAACATTGGTCTATATGCCAGCAGTCTGCTAGACAAGGGAATAGGAAGATAAGCAAACCAACATGGCTCCTGATTTCATGAAACTTATAACATTTGATAAGAAAGGCCACTTTACCTAACTTACCTGTCACACAAATACATAATTACAGACTGTCATAAGCTCCCTGAAGTAAATTACAGAGTGCAGTGAGAATGTAGAAGATGGGAATGTCGTTGGAATGAAAAGATGGTGGTAGGAATTTGGAATTGTATGGGCTTGCCTGAGAAGGGGTTGAGTCTGTAGGATGAAGAAACTAGATAGGCAGGTAAAATGGGAACGTTCTAGGGAGAAGCATGGGCAAAGGCCCTCAGATGGCAAAATGAAGATAGTAGCCTAAAATGAAGGTTTGTGAAATGTGCTGGGGCAATGTGGTTTATGTCGTGTATTTTAATCTTAGTCAAAGGGCAATGGGAATACACTGAAGGTTTGGGAAGGTGGAAGTGGGGAGAAAAGCAGCAAGATCAGACTTTAATCTTGAGCAATCTGACTGCAGTGAGGAGGGACCATCGAAGGTACACAGAAGTAAATACGCTGTAGTTGAGGTAAGAGATGACAGAAGCTTGGACAGATGGTTGCCCTAGAGGCGAAGAGGAGTAGATGGACCCGAGATCTCCTCAGGAGATAAAACTGATGGTAGTTGGTGCTGGACCCAGAAAGTGTTGGTGGGGCAAGGGAGATAGAAACTCCAGGTTTGAATGTATTGTTCACATAGAGCTACATCAGACAGAGCTGGCTTTTTAGATCAGATCAAGGGGAAGATCTGGAACACTTTCTTGGTCCCTCCAAACTAAGTGGGGAGGGACCTCCCTAGCTTGATGTGGTAGAAGACGATATCTCAATTCATCTTTTTTTAAAAAAATATTTATTTGGCTGTGCCATGTCTTTGTTGAGGCATGTGGGATTTGGTTCCCTAACCAGGGATTGAACCCAGGCCCCCTGCATTGGGAGTGCAGAGTCTTAGCCACTGAACACCAGGTAAGTCCCTCAATTCATCTTGACCAGGGATTCCTGGAGAAGCCCCTCTAAGGCATACTGAGCAGAGGCCTCAGTCTTTGGTTTACCTTTTGTTTTTAAAAATAATTAATTTATTTATTTTAATTGGAGGCTAATTACTATACAATATTGTGGTGGTTTTTGCCATACATTGACATGAATCAGCCATGGGTGTACATGTGTTCCCCATCCTGACCATTCCTCCCACCTCCCTCCCCATCCCATCCCTCAGGGTCATCCCAGTGCTCCAGCCCTGAGCACCCTGTCTCATGCATCAAACCTGGACTGGCGATCTGTTTTACATATGATAATATACATGTTTCAATGCTATTCTTTCAAATTATCCCACCCTCGCCTTCTCCCGCAGAGTCCAAAAGTCTGTTCTTTATATCTGTGTCTCTTTTGCTGTCTCATATATAGGGTCATCATTACCATCTTTCTAAATTCCATATATATGCATTAACATACTGTATTGGTGTTTTGGTTTCTGACTTACTTCACTATGTATAATAGGCTCCAGTTTCATCCATCTCTGGTCTACCTTAAGCTCTGTGAAGAAAGGGACTATGTCTTGTTCCTGACTGTTGGCCAGTGCTTAGCAGAAAGCCCAGCACATATGTCCACCAAAATATTATGATAAATATATGATATTTTCCCAAGAGCACAGAGAATATAAGAAGCAATGGCAAGAAGGGGAGAAGTCTAGAAACCTATACTTCAGACCTTTGGCGCAGTGTCCCTCCCTCCCTCCCAGGTCATGTGCTTTTTTTGCGACTATGCCTTTCTACTTCAAATACCCTCACCTCCTCATTTAGTTGAAAAAGTTTTAAAAGTTGCTTGGGTGAATATATTTGGTTTTATTTTGAAGTGATACCATAATTTGGCAGCATTTATTTAAGTATAGCATTTTTTTTTTCGGTTGGATGAAACAGGGACTTATCAATTGTAACTACATGGAGAAATGAGTAAAGAACTCAGGTCTATGCAAAACAAAGGAAATAACCATTAGGAAAGTTCAGCACTTCCCAGTTGGCTCAGGCAGTAAAGAATCTGCCAGGGATTCTTGCAGGAGACCCAGATTCTATCCCTGGGCCAGGAAGATCCCCTAGAGAAGGAAATGGCAATCCACTCCAGTATTCTTGCCTAGAGAAGTCCATGGACAGAGGAGCCTGGCAGGCTACAGTCTATGGGGTCACACATGCCTAAGCATGCACGAACGCAAGCTCAACTGCACAGTGGAAAGTTCAGCAAGGGATGTTCTGGAAGATTCTAAAAGTCTGGGCAGCCCTAGGGGCCTGGAAGGCTGGGAGCAGCAGGCTAGATTTGGTTTAAAATATTTATTTACTTGGCTGCATCAGGTCTTAGTTGTGGGCATGTGGGATCTTTAGCTGTGCCATGTGGGATCCAGTTCCCTGACCAGGGATCAAACCCAGGCTCACCTGAATTGGGAGCATGGAATCTTAGCCACTGAACCACCAGGGAAGTTCCAGGTTAGATATTTTTAAAGCAATGAAATGAACCCAAGATCTAGGAATTCAAGGTGAGAAGGAGGAGCCTCAGCAAACGATGTGGATGAACTTCATCTCCAAGGACAGTTGGAGTGACAGTTGCCTGGTGTTAATTCCAAACAGAAGAAATCAGGGATGTACAGGTGGAATGGCCTCTGGGGCTTGTAGGATCAAGATGGGGATGAGTCCTTTGATAGGTGGTGAGGATAGTTGAGATCACTTTGCTTGAGAATTTTTCTCTATGATTCTTGCTGTGACTGTCTTCATTTTCATGTAAAAAGGATGAGTGTATCTTTTCTCAAAATAATGAAACATATGGACCTGATCCCATTGGAAATTTGATTTTTGAAAGTCATCAATATGTTGTAAATGTCAGAGGAGGTAACTCCCTCATAGGCAGATGTTTCCATAAAGGTGAGTGAAAATGAATAGGATTACTGACATCTTCAAAAGAACATGGTTTTAAGCAGCAGATATTAAATATTTTCTTCACAGTAAATTCAGTGTGTGTGCACATGCATGCACAAATATACACACTAGGTAATTTCCCCAACTCTTTCACTCTGTGTTATTCTGTGGTTACCCACGTATGTGAGTTGCTCACATGTGCCTGACTCTTTGCGACCCCTTGGACTGTAGCCCGACAGACTCCTCTGTCTATGGGATTCTCCAGGCATGAATACTGGAGAGGTTTCCATTTCCTTCTCCAGGGGATCTTCCCAACCCAGGGACTGAATTCCAGTCTCCTGCAAAGAGGTAGATTCTTTACTATCTTAGCCACCAGGGAAGCCCATATTATCCTGCAGCAGATATTAAAATTTGACACTTTGGGTTTTTTCATATAAATATTCAACCAACCTTCGTGAATGATACTGGGTGCTGGGGTTTGAGGAAGCATCTGTTTAGGCAGTTTCTTTTGGATGGGGTGTGGGTTCCGAGTCAACCCAGTTTAGAACCATTAAATGAGCCAGCAGCAGGCCTGCTGTCACCGTAACTGTTGGTGAAAGAGAGTCTCTGAATTTAGCTCTGTATTTTCATGAGGCTTCAGAGACACCTCACATACTGGATTTCCCAACCATCTCAGGTGTAAGTTGTATCAAAGAGTCTATGTCTCGTTACATTTTACAAGCTTCAGGATAAACGCACAGGCTCTACATTTTTCTTCTTTTGGAATGACAAGTTCCTCTGCTGTTACCATCTATCCACAGGTGGCGGTCCTGGAATCTCCCTACCTACACTTTTACCCCTGTTTCTTTTTTTTTTAGTCCTCTTTAGTCTTCTCTCCTTTTTCTTCCCTCCTACTTGCACTCTTACCTAGTATTTTTCTGCTGCCCCTTAGCTTCCATCAGTCTCACAATGCCCTATTACCCTTTCTTCTCCTGTCCCCATTGAAGCTCACAGAACCAAGTTCCAGTTCTTTAGAATCTTATTCTCAGCAAGATAGCACATCCAATCCCCCTTTTAGGAAATTATTCTCCTTATCTCTTAATATTTTGATCAGGGACAAATATTTAACATTCAGGAGTCACTCTAAGTGGTGTGGATTAAAAGCATGGGTCAGGCACGGGTGAAAAATCATTTTGGATGGAAAAGCCTGTCCACTTTCCATACATTATAACCAGCAGGCAAAGACTAAATATCGGGCAGGTGCCACCCCTGCCCACCTTCTCAAGAAAAATTTGAGGAGGGACCCTGCGACCTCAAAGGTGATGGTGGTAGCCCGTCTTTTTACCAAAAGAAGTTTGATCTAAATGAGTCCAGTTTGGATTAGGTAAAGAATGAGATTGAGGAGATGTGTCCTAGAAATCAGCCAATTTCACAGCCTTGGGCAGGTATTTGTCATCAGCTGAGTCATACTGCCTTGGGATTAGCCAGCTCTACTTTCTGTTTCAACAATAAAAAGTCTTGCAAAACTGCTGGCATGTGAGACAGAGGGATCCAGAAAGTTTTGGCATCTTTTCCAGCAGCATAACGGGTTTTAGGGAAGAGACTTGTGAGAGCATGGTCCATGCACTCCACCACCAGGGACAGGTCCATGTTCACAAAGGATGCAGTGCCTTTCAATTGTTCTAGGCCTGTAAAAAAAGAGACAAAAGCACATTTACCCTGTGGAAGAAGGGGAATAGGGGAGTGTGAAGCTAGGTTGCAAAGGGGAGGATGCAGTGAGGGAACTTATTTTGATTTTGTCATTATAACTGGGTCCCCTTGTGATGGGTTTTTATCTATTCCTCAGGGATGCAGCAGTGATTTCTTTAGATTGTTGGCTCTCAGACTTGAGTGAGCAGCAGAATCTCCTAGAGAGCTTGTTCAAAGCCAGAACCCAGGAAGTTAGTAGTTTGTATAAACATAGTGGTAGTAGGATATACACAGTACTTCTTAAAACAAATTTGATATAGGAAATGTGTTTACACGTGCTAGTGCATATATGTGTGCACTAATATAGCATGTGCCTCTATAATTTAGTGACTAAAGAGAGACTCATCTACTAAAGCCCTGACTCAGGAAGCTAAAGGTATCTTGGTTCTCAGCAAATGAATTGTTTGAGTAATAAGCTAAGATACCTTTAAAGAGGCAGGGACTGGTGACGGCTTGAAGCATTCCTCCTGAGCTCTTAAAACATATCTTGAATTGTGTATCCTCAAGGGAAAATCTATTGTGTTAAATCTTTTGACTTCAGCTCCCAGTAGCCACAAGCTGTTCCAAGAGCCTAATTGAGGTTAGCTCATAAGTCTTAAGTCTATTTTAAACTTCTACTACTCCATTCTAGGAAATGAAGCAATGTGAGCTTAAATTTGTGGTCTGCTTTGGAAACATGAGTCTGGCTGATCTCAAAGTCTTGGCTTGGAGAACTCTAATAAGAGCAATCAGGACAAAATCGGGCTCTAAGCCTTTGGTAATTCTGAGAAAGGACACCTGACCCAGAGGCCAAGTCAAAAAAATTTGAGATAGAAGTTGATGATATATTCTCAGGCATCTAGAAAATATCAATTTCAACATCAAACAGGGAAAGCTCTTTTCAATGAGGGATTTTGTTTTCGATCTTAGAGACTTCAGAGTCGGTGAGTGAGAAACAGCGCATTTAGTGGCAGTGGTTGTAACCTGATACGCAGTGACATGTCAGCACTGCGAGGTTTGTCAAACCGGAGGTTCTAGTTGACATATATGTACCTGTATGCATGTGTGTGTGTGTGTGCGCGTGCGCAGTGGGGTAGTTGCAGAAGTCAGTCATTCTCCCCCAGTAGATGTGACTAGGCTCTCGGCTCCACCTTGAAAACCCCTGGCCTTGAACCTTGCCGCAGCTGGCCCTCTTGCTGAAGCTGCTGAAGAAGAGGCAGGATCGCACTGGGGTTAGGGTGACACCAGGTCAGGTGGAGCTCCTGGCTCAAAGCAGGAGCTTAGTAACGTTTGAGGACTAGCAAGCAAATGTTAATAAGGCCAGGAAGTCTGATGTGGAGGTAAGAGCCCCAATACAGGAAGTTCCAGCAGTTCCTCAATGCCTCATTCCCATTACAGTGCATGGCAGAGAATAGATGGCCAAGCCAGGCCATCTGGCTTCAAACCCAGCACTTCCACTTACTAGCTGTGCCACTTTGGGCAAGTTACATCCCTGTGCCTCTGCGTCTATAAAATCCAGAGGGCTTGTTTGGGCGTTTTAAATGAAAGAGTTTGTGTAAAGTGCTTAGAACGGTGACAAGTATACAGTGAATGTTTACTATGTGTTAGTCATTGTTATCTAATCTTTATGATTATTCCTCCAGCCTTGACTCAGTCTGACTTACCTTACTTCTCCTTCCTCTCCACTGCCATGCATTCCTGCTTCAGAAAGCTTCCACCCAAATATTAATAATTTCTTCCTGTTTAGGTCTTATTCAAACCTGACCTTTCCTATAAAGGTTTCTTAACCAGCAATGCTTTGACCCTGTGCTGAATTTCTCGAGCAGTTAGACTGTACTATCTAGCCCTCCTTCTAGGCTGTTGGGTTGTGTCTCAGAAATAAAGGGTCAAGTTTCTTGCATGTTGTAAATCTCAGTGGTCAGAGTCATCTGGTTACTTTCTGTTGTCAAATAGATTGTAAGTTAGGCAGAGTCTGAGTCTTTGAATGAGTGGTGGGTGATCACCAAAAAGAGGTGGTTTGTGTAGATGTAATGACCATGGGCTCCAGTCCAGGCATTGCTCTGAGGAGTTGTATAAACTTTGCTAGGACATTCCCCTTTCCAAACCTCTGCTGGCTGCAATAGTTCTTTTGAGGAATAAATGATATAATTCATGAGGCACTTAGTATGGAACTTACTACTTAGTAAATGCTCAGTAAATGTTTATAAACATGAGCAAGAGCTGACACTAATCAATAGGGACTCCTGATCTATATCTGAGATCCCTACTAGTGTATTACCATGATAACCTTATTTTTTCCTTTCTGTTTGAGTCTCTTTCAAGCTGTCTAGGACAATGAACCCCATAGGACCCTGGGTCCACCCCAAAGCTCACTTTTCTTGATGTAGCTTTCTCCATATTGTTGTTTGATGTCTGGAGACAGATGCTTCCAAATGGCAAGTTTTTTTTCAGCAGCCTTTTCTGGATCTGACAAATTGGTTTTGAACAATCCTGGTTCAATGCAAGCGACGTGCACACCAAAAGCTTTCATGTCCCGCCTGTGAAAAGAGCCGGTTGAAGACATTTAATTCAGGCTTATTTGAATAATGTTTGCTTATAAATCTTTTCGTGGAGTCACAGAATTGGGTGCACAGGAAAGAGCATCTTATCTACCATCTCAGTTTGCAGATGAGGAACTGAACTATGGGACAGATCATCTTCCACATTCCAGACTGGCTGCTGTGTGGTACACATGTGGGACACATCTGAGTAGCAGAGCAAAATCTTTGAAAACTGAGCACTGGGGTCTCAGACCACAGAAGGTTGGCTGAAAGTTGTGACCTGAACAAAGCTGGCCAATTATCTGCTAAAAACAATAACAATAACAACAAAAACCTTTCAACATTCTCCCCATAATTTAATAATACTCATAGTTTCATGTTGTACCAAATATTTAGCATATGATACATAAAAGAAGTCAGAAAATCTCAACTCACATGAGAAAAGACAATGGACAAGATACCAAGGCTGAGGCAGCACAGATGTTGGAATTATCAAAGTCTTTAAAGTGCTTGTTACAGACATGTTCCAAGAGATAGACACTCCTGAGGTAAATGGGAATTTAGAAAACTTCAGAAAAGAAAGAAAAGATAAAGAAGAACCAAGTGAAAATTTTACACTTGAAAAATGCAATAACCACAATAAAATATTTACTGGCTGGACTCATTAGTAAAATGAAGAAGATGAAGGAAAGTCAATGAATTTGAAGACAGATCACTGGAAATTACCTAATCTTAACAGCAGAGAGAAAAACTGACAAAGTGAACAGAACCACAGGAATCTGTGGGACAAAGCCAAAAGGTCTAATATTTGTGTTAGAATCCCAGAAGGAAGAGAAATAGTGGATTGTAGATAAAAAATGTTTGGAGAAACAATGGCTGAAACCTCCTCAAATATGTGAAAAGCCATAAACCTACAGATTGGAGAAGCCCAGTGAACCTCAAACATCATAAACCCAAAGAAACTAATGCTTGGGGCACCGAATTGAAGGACTTTGTTTGCTAAGTTGGTCCTTTCATGGTTTTATGCTCTGGGGTTCTCTGGTGACACACAGCAAAAAGAGGTAGTCAATGCTTTCTTGTGGTAGCAAAATCTTCACATTAGATTAGCAAGCTTCTGTGTGTGTGTGTGTGTGTAGTATAGAATTAATGCCTGTGTATGTGTGTAGTANTGTGTGCGTGTTAGTCACTCAGTCTTGTCCGACTCTTTGCTACCCCATGGACTATAGCCCGCCAGGCTCCTCTGTCTATGGGATTCTCCAGACAAGAATACTAGAGTGGGTTGCCATTCCCTTCTCCAGGTAGCAAGCTTCTACTCTAAGTTTTATTTGGAAATGGAAGCATCCGAGGAAAGCTGTCTTCCTTGTCTTTGGGGTAGAAGTGGGATGGTTACCATCCATTCAGCTATAGTATGTGAAATTTTGAGTCCAGAACTTGCAACACGGCAGGGGGTGGGGAAGAAAAGCTGCATCGCTAAGTCATTACTTTATCAGATAATTTTCTACTGAGGGTTTAAATAAGATGTCACTGTTGTGTCTGCAACTGACAGTAATACCAACAGAGACCTGATTTAGTTCCTCTCTATGATTCCCTAACTATTAAACAAGCTGATCCGTTGAATACAAATTTGCCACCACTATTCACATATGCATTAATGCAAAAAGGAGAAAAGACTTTAAAAGATTTAGGTTCAAATCCCATTCTACCATTTGACAGCTGGGTGACCTTGGGTGAGTTATCCCAACTCTCTTAGTTTCACTGGTATCATTTATATTTTATCTCTCCTTTTAAAAATGTTTTTTCCTTATTTTTTTGCTTCAAACCCTTGTGTCAAGGGCTGACGTTCAGTATCATAAACTGGGAATAGTTTTAAGCACTAAATAGTGTCTGGTATATAAATGTTCAATGAACGTTAATGGTTATTATTTGCTAAGATGTCCATGTTTGCTTTACCTTAAGCTGTCATTGAAGCCTTCTACTGCATATTTAGATGGAGAATAGCCCCCTCCACCAAATGCAAGCCGACCCCCAATGCTGGAGACATTGATAATTCTCCCTCGAGCCTTTTTGACCAAGGGAAGCATGTTTAACGTGACACTGATGAGTCCAAACAGGTTCACTTCAACAGGTTCTCTGTAGTCCTCGACAGTCAGCCAGTCGTTGGGTGCCAGCACACCAAGAATGCCAGCGTTGTTGATCAGACCCCAGAGACCTAGAACAGAGCGGAAGGGAAGGAGGTATGGTAGAAGGTGATACTTATATAGGCATCCTTGATGGAAATACAGCTCTGCCTTATCTGATGGTGCCATTTCCTCCTTCCAGTCATCTTCCTTCCTGCTTTGAATACTTGCAGTTTGGGGAAGTGATAGTACAGTGGGTGGGAGGTTAAACCGAAACGACTGAAGTTCTGTTACCGGAAGCCAATCTCACAATTTTTCTGTTTCTGCTTTGAATGTCAAACACTATCTGAGTGAGTCTTTTTAATCTCAGATGTGAGGAAATTGCTCTATTTTTCCTATCATGCTGGATGACATAGCCAGAGAATACTTATGAACTGTTTTTATAGACAAAGAACAGCATCGATCTATTTCACATTTATTTTTGGTAAAAATCCAGTCATTCACCTGTCTTATGTTATGATGGGAAACATTTAACATTGTTAAAAGTGTTTGGCATTCAAGTATTAAAATATTATTTGGAGCCTTATCAAACTACTGCTTTTGAGGTTCAGAGTCTCAACTATATGATGAAGATGTGATAAAGAAAAATCACATCTGTTTGTTTTTTTCCTTTGTGGATTCAAATATCTTCATCCATGAGAGTATTTCAAACTTCATTCAAGGAAAAAAAATAAAAAGTCTTCTAGTTCAGAATGCTCCTATCTTTGCAGAATCTAACGCAGAACGAGGTCCAGTGACTCCTTATTCTACCATGGCTACCTAAGACACATTTGCTCAGATTGCCAGACTATTTTCTTCCTTTCCTAGTGACAGTGTGTGAGCTCTGGAACCATTTTGCAGTCAGAAGATGGTCCTGGGTATCCAGATGGCAACTCAAGGGTTGCCCTCAGGATCTACTGTAGCTTTTGGCCCCAAGTTGTTTGCTATGTAAGTGGTTAGAGTCGCACTTCACAGAAAAAGACCAGTTAACACCATCATCTCGGTTCTTAAATTCACCCATGGGGACGCATGAGAAGATAATGCGGGCTGTGTCTCTCATGCATGTAGAGAGCTTGCAATGTAGAAATATTCAGAGCTATTCTAAACTTTCTCCCATCTTCTCAAGCACACAACTGGTATCTAGGAGACATTATTTTTGGAAAGACCATTTAAAATCAGACTATTTACTTTCATATAGCTTTGCTTACTTCTCAACACCCCCTCCATTCCCCTCATTTTCACATCACTCACCTTTCTCCCCAACTTGGTTTTTCACCCACTGGGCAGCCCTCTTGACATTTTCTGGGTCAGTTACATCCAGAAGCACGGTATGAAGCCTCTCTGAAGTTTCTGCCTTTAAAGCTGTTGATCCTGATTCAGTCAGACAGGCAGCAATTACATGAAACCCTTTCTTATCAAAAGTTCTGGCTGCCAAGTTTCCAAAGCCAGTGTCACACCCAGTGATGAAAATGTACTTATCAGTGATGTTTGCGATCTTTAGCTGTCTTTTGTAATTCCACAGAAAACCACAAAGGATCAGAAGGGCTAACAGCCAAAAGAGCATTTTTTTCCTGTTGTATGACAAGGGCACTTCTTTCTTGAACAATAAAAGAAGATGGCGTCCTGAGTGTTCAAAATTAGACAGAAAATTCAAATTAGAACCATTAGGGCATAATAACCCAGAGTGATGAACTTAAGATATCCTAATGCATTTGGATGGATACATAGATGGTTAAAAATACAATAACTCTTATTTGGTTGGGAAGATGGCTATGTAAGTGTTAAACTACACCTATCATATGTGCGTGTGTGTGTGCTCAGTTGTGTCTGACTCTTTGTGATCCCCATGGACTGTATTTCTCCAGGCTCTTCTGTCCATGGGATTCTCCAGGCAAAAACACTAGAGTGGGTTGCCATTTCCTCCTCCAAAGGATCTTCCTGGCTTAGGGATCGAACCTGTGTCTCCTGCATTGCAGGCAGATTCTTTACCACTACGCCACAAGGGTTTCCCAAGTGGCAGAGAAAGTAACTGGCAAAATTGACATGGGTCATTGGGTTGATCTGACTTTTTTCCTCTCTATATATACATGCAAATATTTCTTTGCTTAATAAGGAATATGAACATAAACGCAGATAGAATGACACACACACTCATGTGCACACAGACACACAACTCTATTTCTATTGTTTTACAAGGAAGAGATTGTTTCAGATAAAAAAATAATGCAATATATCTTCACTTATCGCGGAAAATTTGGACTCTGCTTTCATCTTTTTTTCCTGCTGAAAGATCTATAGCTAAAGAAGAAAAAAACGGGTAGTAAAAATAAGTCAGCAGTAAAAGGAAGGTTTGTGCAAACTAGTTGGTTCTTGTGGTATAGCTGTGACTATTTCTAAAGCAGTCAGGTTTTTAGACTATTGTGACTTAAAAATTTGGTATAGTTTTTCCAAATCTTCTCTCTGTAGGAATTGATTTGTTGCAAGTAGATGTCTATGTAGCAAGATTTCCCCTTTTCAAATAAATAAATACATTTAAAATATATAATTTTGAGGGGTGGAGTGGTGTAACCAACTCTTGCAAAATTCATATTTAGAAATTTTAAGGAAATTTCATGTTTATACATTCAATTAGTATAGTGTTTTGCTCAAGTCTAGGTCTTGATAAATAATTGTTGAATAACTAAAAGTTGACTATATTCACCAAATAGATTCTGTAACCTTTGTTGCAATCCAAACTCCCAAGGGAATTATGTGAAAAATGCAAATATTCACGGGGTTTAATGTGCCCTAGAACTGAAGAGTGGAAACTCTGTGTTGTAGGGTTTTGCTGCTGGCAGGCAGGCCTAAGGGGAGCAATAGTAAAACAATAGCTTACTTTTGTAAAGCGTTCTGCCTTTCACTTTTACAAATAGGTCTCATTGGATTCTCTTCATAGCCTTTTCAGTTAGAGAGGGCTCATTACTTGCCTCATTTTCCAGGAGAATTAATATTTCAATTAATAAATGGAAAAGGAAAAATGGAATTAGCAAATCATCATTTGGCAGCTGACATAGTGACAGTTGTTCCAGGCAGTTCTAAACTAGTGGGTGAAATTCTGATGAGAAACAGTAACTATAGAATCTCAAAGAATCTCTGCATAAGGCTCATACTAATTAAAAAGAGAGCGATAGTAATTTCACAGTGGAGAGATCTGCCGGATACCACTTTAAGCAAGTGATAAACACGAACACTATAGAGATGACAAAACGGCAGAGGAGTAGCTGGACATGGAGTACTTTTCTGTTCATGGATGCATCAAGGATATATCTTCAGATGCAAGGATCTCAGAGCACCAGCTGAGAGCTGGCAGGAGTGCCTGACCACCGGAAAGGAATATGGATCCACGCAAAACTCAGTAAGAGGAAGGAAGGGAAAATTAGGAGAGTGAGTAGGGCCGGAACTGCATTCAGGGGGTGAAGGAATAAAGCAGGGATGAGATTCCCACACTGGAGCAATAGTTTGGGACCGAGAGGAGGCCGTTGAGGCTGCCGGAGAGCGAATCAATTGATCTGTGACGTTCTGGATGCAGCAGAGAACCACAGCCCTACCTGTCCAGGGCAGCTTCCTCCGTACGTGCAGCCGCTGGGAGCTGGGCCGTCGGGATGAGAGAGCAGTCCCAAAGTGAGGGCTGCTGGGGACTGCGGGAGATGGCCTGAGGGGGTGTGAGGGAGGAGACCACGCTGGGAGTGCCCTCGAAGGAAAGCTGGGCAGCCACGGAGGCAGGGCCATAGTGCTGAATCATGCGCAGGGGGTGGAGCCACCCCTGTAGCCTCTCTCCCCACCTGCCACAGCCGGCAGCTGACCAGTAGAGAAAGACCCCAGAGATGGTGGGCCTTGGTGGGCCTGATGCACCAAGCAGCAGAGAAGGATCACAGCCAGGAGGAGCACCTGCTTCACCAAGCAACAAGGAAGGACCAGCTAGGGAAGTCCTTTGAATGCCAGCTTCCAGAGGCTAGAAAAAAGACTCTATGTCTGTGCTAAGTTGCTTCAGTTATGTCCAACTCTGTGTGACCCTGTGAACTGCAACCTGCCAGCCTCCTCTGTCCGTGGGATTCTCCAAGCAAAAATATTGGAATGGGTTGCCATGCCCTCCTCCAGGGGGCTTTTCCCAACCCAAGGATCAAACCCATGTCTCTTATGTCTCCTGCATTAGCAGGTGGGTTCTTTATCACTAGCACCACCTGGGAAGCCCTTGAAAAAGAGTCTAATAGCCTTTATCTCCTATGCCCCAGCCACCGGCTTCCCTACGCTTTTGGCCCCACCAGGTTCCCACACTCTAAGCGGTCATGCCACCTCCCTGCCCAGTCCTCACTGGTGCAGAGCTGCCAGAGGCTAGAAAGAAAAAGCCTTAATAGTGCCATATCTCCTCCCCCTGTGGCCGCTGCCTCCCCTGCACACATGGTGCTGCCAGGGACCCCACCATTCAAGCAGCTGTGATACCTCCACTCTTGGTCCTCACTGGGGCAGACCCAAGTCCTCCAAGGCAGCCTCAGGAGTGAACTCCTGTGATAACCTACATGCAGTGGTGGAGATAAAACCACAATGGTTTCAGCAGAGTGGCTAAGGAAGAGGATGGAAAATCTTTCCACCAGCTGTACAAACTGCAGATTAAATACACACAATCAACTAGGTAGACTCTGTGCCTATGGGATATAAAAAAGGACAATGAGTGTTCACATAAAAGAAAAAAACCCTAGCTCTGGCAACTGTGGACATTGGAGGCAAATACACATAGGAGTAGAGGCAGATTAGAATCCGACAGTAGGTCCCAAGAAAAGTCCAGTACAGGAGGGCTTCCTAGGAGGTGGAGGAGAACCACTACTCTCTATATACATTGTTTTCTTTTTTTCCCTTTCCCCTCTTTTTCCCTTTCTCCCCTTTTCCCCCTTTTTTATCCTCTTAATCTCCCCCCCCCTTTTTTCTTTTTCATATATTTCTAATTTTCTTCCTTTTTTTTCCCTTCATTCTCTTTTTTCTCTCTTCCTTTTGTAAATGTGTGAGTTTCGTTGGGTGCTCTTGGCATTTGAGTGTTGTTTTCACCATTAGTCTTGAGGTTTTGTCTTCTGTGCTGTGATGCCTGTGAAGTCTTAGCAGACTATTGGAGCCAGAAAAATGGGTAAGTGATCTGGAAGACAGAATTGTGGAAAGAACTGAAGCAGAGCAGAATAAAGAAAAAAAGAAAGAAAGAAAGAAATGAGGACAGTCTCAGAGACCTCTGGAACAACGTTAAGCATACTAACATATGAATTATAAGGGTCCCAGAAGAAGAAGGGGGAAAAGGCATGAGAAAATATTTGAGGAGATAATAGTCAAAAACTTCCCTAACTTGGGAAAGGAAATAACCATCCAAATCCAGGAAGTCCAGAGTCCAATACAGGATAAACCCAAGGAGAAATACACCAAGACACATATTAATAAAGCTAATGAAAATTAAACACAAAGAACAAATATTAAAAGCAGTATGGGAAAAGCAGCAAATAACACACAAGGGGATTCCCATAAGGCTAACAGCTAATCTTTCAACAGAAACTCTGGCCAGAAGGGAGTGACAAGGTATACTTAAAGTGATGAAAGAAACAAAATTACAACAAAGATTGCTCTATCTAGTAAGCATCTCATTCAGATTCAAAGGAGAACTCAAAAGCTTTATGGATAAGCAAAAAAAAAAAGATAAAGAGAATTCGGTGTCACCAAACCAGCTTTACAACAAATGCTAAAGAAACTTCTCTGGGTTTGAAACACAAGAGAAAGAAAAGGCCTACAAAAACAAACCCAAAAGAATAAAGTAAATAGTAATAGGATCATTATTTAATNCATTGCCTTCTCCAAAGTCCATGAAAAGAGACAAAGAGGAATACTACATAATGATCAAAGGATCAATCGAGGAAGAAGATATAGCATTGCTAAATATATATATACGTACCCAATATAGGAGCAACGCAAATGTGAGGCAAATGCTAACATGTATGAAAGGGGAAATTAACAGTAACACAATGATAGTGGGAGACTTTAATACCCCACTCACACCTATGGATAGATCAGCTAAACAGAAAATTAGCAAGGAAACACAAACTTTAACTGATACAATGGACCAGTTAGACCTAATTGATATCTATGGGGCATTTCACCCTGAAACAATGAATTTCACCTTTCTCTCAGGCGGACACGAAACCTTCGCCAGGATAGATCACATCCTGGGCCAGAAATGTAGCCTTTGTAAATTCAAAAATTTTGAAATCATTGGAAGCTTCTTTTCTGTTCACAATGGGTTAAGATTAGATGTCAACTACAGGAAGAAAATTATTAAAAATACAAACCTATGGAGGCTAAACAGTACACTTCTGAATAACCAACAAATCACAGAAGAAATAAAAAAGGAAATCAAAATATGCATAGAACTGAGTGAACATGAAAACACAACTAACCAAAACCTATGGGATTCAGTAAAAGCAGTTCTAAGGGGAAGTTTCATAGCAATACAAGCCTACCTCATGAAACAGGAGAAAAATCAAATAAATAAGCTAACTCTACACCTAAAGCACTAGAAAAAAGAAATGAAGCAGCCCAGAGTTACTAGAAGGAAAGAAATCATAAAAATTAGGGCAGAAATAAATGCAAAAGAAACTCAGGAGACCATAGCCAAAATCAACAAAGGTAAAAGCAGGTTCTTTGAGAAAATAAATAAATTAGACAAACCATTAGCCAGACTCATCAAGGAAAAAAGGGGGAAGAATCACATCAACAAAATTAGAAATGATAATGGAGAAATCAGAACAGACAACACAGAAATACAAAAGATCATAAGAGACTACTATCAGCAACTATATGCCAATAAAATGAACAATTTGGAAGAAATGGACAAATTCTTACAAAAGTATAACTCCCCAAAACTGAATCAGGAAGAAATAGAAAATCTTAACAAACCCATCACAAGCATGGAAATCAAAACTGTAATCAGAAATCTTCCAGCAAACAAAAGCCCAGGACCAGACTGCTTCGCAGCTTAATTTTACCAAAAATTTAGAGAAGAGCTAACACATATTGTACTCAAACTCTTCCAGAAAATTGCAGAGGAAGGTAAACTTCCAAACTCATTCTATGTGGCCACCATCACCTTAATACCAAAACCAGACAAAGATGCCAAGAAAAATGAAAAATACAGGCCAATATCACTGAATAACATAGATGCAAAAATCCTTAACAAAATCCCAGCAAACAGAATCCAACAACATATTAAAAAGTTAATACATTATGACCAAGTGGGCATTTTCCCCGGGGTGCAAGTATTCTTAATATCCACAAATTATTCAATGTAATACACCACATTAACAAATTATAAGATAAAAACCATATGATTTTCTCAATAGAAGTAGAGAAAGCCTTTGAGAAAATTCAACATCCAATTATGATAGGAAACCCTCCAGAAAGCAGGAATAGAAGGAACATACTTCAACATAATAAAAGCTATATATGACAAACCCATAGCAAATGTTATCCTCAATGGTGAAAAATTGGAAGCATTTCCCCTAAAGTCAGGAACAAAACAAGTGTGCCCACTCTGAACACTATTATTTGACATAGTTGTGGAAGTTTTAACCACAGCAATCAGAGAAGAAAAAGAAAGAAAAGAAATCCAGATTGGGAAAGAAGTAAAACTCTCACTGTTTGCAGATGACATGATCCACTACATAGAAAACCCTAAAGACTCCACCAGAAAATTACTAGAGCTAATCAATGAATATAGTAAAGTTTCAGGATATAAATTTAGCATGCAGAAATCCCTTGCATTCCTATACACTAACAATGAGAAAACAGAAAGAGAAATTAAGGAAACAATTCCATTCACCATTGCAATGAAAAGGATAAAATACTGAGGGATCAATCTACCTAAAGAAACAAAAGACCTATATATAGAAAACTATAAAACACATATGAAAGAAATCAAAGAGGACACAAATATTCATGGATTTAAAGAATCAATATAGTGAAAAATGAGTATACTACACAAAGCAATCTATAGATTCAATGCAATCGCTATCAAGCTACCAATGGTATTTTTCAGGGAACTAGAAAAAACAATTTCACAATTTTTATGGAAAGACAAGACACCTTGAATAGCCAAAGCATTCTTGAGAAAGAAGAATGGAACTGGAGAAATCAACCTGTGTGACTTCATGCTATGTTACAAAGCTGCAGTCATCAAGGCAGCGTGGTACTAGCAAAGAGACAGAAAGA